TATGTATTAAAATTTTTAAGTATCAGGAAATTTGGATTGGCCACTCATGAAGATGGAGTAATATGGTTTTCATAATTGAACAAAAGCTTCCAGATGCATTCAATCATGTTTAAAGAGCTACAAAACTTACTCAGTTAAAACAATTCAAACTTACCAAGGCCTTTATTCTTAATTAGAACAAGTGTCTTTGACATATTTGAAGACATTTGGCTTAAAAATAGCCAAGTTAAAAGTATTCAAGAGTGACACATGAGCACCATTCTTGATTGCACTCTGCCCTCTCTATCTGTTGGAGGCATCCATCTCTTTGACTTCAAAGAGAGTTCTTCAGAATGAAGCTTCTACACAGGGAAACAATCTGTCCCTCTTCCGCTTCTGTTGTGTTTGGAAGTCAACATTCCTATCTGTGTACAATTGAGCCCTGGGATGTACTGGGTCTGCCAAAATGTCCAGCACTGTATCACATTCCAATGGACGTCCTTTGTAAAGCTTCTGTTTACCAAATGGAAATCCTTCCTTGGCTCTCTGGGAGGCAGAGAGCTATGAGTAAGAGTAGACCAAGGCCTGAAAGTTGAAATTATGCATCCTTTTTGTTGCCATAAATACATTAATGAGTGGATCCATCCTACAAAGCCTATACCTAAAATCAGAGAGAAAGTAACATTCAAGAACATACCCTGTGGTCACTACTGATTTCTGACAACCCACTTCTCTTAAAATAGCCATATGCACAGACCTGTACAAGAAAAATTAATGCGCAAGAGCAACTTTTTGAGGCACAGCATGATCCCAATGCATCCAAGAAGTCTTCGGTTCTGACCACTTTACTACATTACCAAGCAGAAGAGGGAACCAAGACGTTTTAGGAAGATATGTGTAAAATGAAAAAAAAAAATGATGTTGTAAGGCTTTGAAGGCAGAATGTTGAGTGTAGACTGTGACAGCAGACAAACCTGAATTTGATTCCTGGAAATATCCTATACCATATAATCTCAAGTTAAGTTTTCTAAACTAATATTACTTCTGTTTTCTCATCTGCAGAATGAGGGGGTGGGAAATAATACATATCCTCCTGCTTTATTGCGAAATTCAATTTATAATTTCTGGCACATAGAAGGCATTTGTATTAGGGTTCTCCAGAGAATAGAACCTGCAGGGTGCATATGTTTACACATACGCACATATGCACACACACATATATGACCAGAAGTATTAAGAGTAGTTGACTCACCCAAGTATGGAGACTGACAAATCTCAAGATCTACAATCAGTAAGCTTGAGGCCCTGAAAAGGTCCATATTTAATTTATAATCAGGATAGAAAAGATTAATATGTCAGCCTAAGCAATCAGGCATGAGGAATTGTTCCTTTTTTTGTTGTTATTTGGGGAAGGAAAACCTTTCATTATATTCAGCTCTTGAACTTATCAAATGGGACCTACTCACATCCAGGTAGCTAATTTGCTCTCAGTCTTATCAATTTAAGTATTTAACCCATCAAAATACCCTCAGAAAAACACCCACCAATAGTGTTTGACCAAATATACGGGCTCTCTGTGGCACAGTCAAATTGACACACAAAACCACCTATCCTTGTGCTTTATAAATGCCTTCTATTAACGGTAGTGAATAGAAATGCTCTTTTTTTCCCTCTGAATGCATTTAACTACAGTTCTGCTGAAATCCAAATGTCATATTTCCTTTTCAACAAAATTATTTTAAATGAAAAATAATGAATTATTTATTATTTTATTCATAATAATAGTAATTGTTTCATCACTACCAAAAATGATCCAAATCAGGAAAGCACTAGAACATGTAATAACACAAATTATTTGAGTAGTCCACTATTTGTAAATTTATTTTTAATTGAAATATTCAGTCATGATGAAAAATATGTTGCTACTAGTTTGGGTCACAGGAGTCTAGTTGCCATATGATTTTCTCTCTTCCTTCTTCCCTTCCTTCTTTCCTTCCTTCCTTCCTTCCTTCCTTCCTTCCTTCCTTCCTTCCTTCCTTCCTTCCTTCTTCCCTTTGAAAGGCAGAGTTACAGAGAGGCAGAGGCAGAGAGAAAGAGAGAGAGAGAGAGAGAGAGAGAGAGAGAAAGAGAGATCTGCCATCCACTGGTTCGCTCCTCAAATGCCTGCAACGACCGGAGCGGGGCTGACCTGAAGTCAAGAGCCAGGAGCTTCCTTCAGGTCTCCCACATGGGTGCAGAGATCCAAGCACTTGGGCCATCCTGTACTGCTTTCCCAGGTGCATTATCAGGAAGCTGGAACAGAAATGAAGTAGCTGGGACTTGAACCGGTGCCCTGTGGGATGCTGGCATTGCAGGCGGTGGCTTTACCTGCTAAGCCACGGTGCCAGCTCCACCATGTGATTATAATAGATTAGGAGAAAGAAATTTCCATTTTATAACTTTGGGTAACAGGGCCTTCCAATATCCTCCCCCTTGCTGAGCATTTTGTAAATGAGGTCATTCACAGGCCAACATCATATAAAATGATTATGTCTAATTTCATGTATTATAGATATTGGCTCCATAAAAATCAAACCTGCAACTTATCTGGAAAAACTCCATCTGTCTTTCCCATAAAGGGAGTGGCAAAACCCATTACTATCATAGGAAAACACTTGAAGGATCCCTTTTTAAGGCAAAGAGACCAAATCCAGTCCTGTATGAAGTGGAATACAGTGAGAGTCTGGATAACCTGATTCTAATCTCCAACTCTGCAAAAAATCTTTAGGTAACCTTGAGTTACCTCTATCTTCTCAGTGGAAAGTAGGAATTAGAGCAGAGTCTGGATCGAAACCAAGGGATTCCATGGACGGTGGTGACTTCTTCCTAGGACAATTGCTCCACCTCTACCAAATGAGTGTGCAGAGGTTGCTGTATTGACTAGTTTAGACAGTCCACCTGCAGTTCTCAGTGCCACCCTCTGTTAGGCACACACCTCTGGGTGAACCAAGTAGGAACCTGAGCCTTGCTGTGAAGACCACATTGCCATCATTCTAACTTTGAGCAAAGACGGAAAGGGCATTTTTCACAACTACAGGCTGAGATTGAGCAACTAAAACTAAATACCACAGTGGGAGTGATTTCATGGAGTTATGAGCTTATTCAGAGAACAAAAGAGTGAAAAAAAATAAAGCTTCCCTGGAGCTATAGCTACGTAAGTATGAAGAGGAAAATGCAAAAAATGAGAATAACTTCTTATTAAAAACAATATTATAGTTTATTTAAAGATTTTACTCAATTTTCCCCTTTCCACATAAAACATACACAAACACACTTGTCTATCTCCTCAGTATTGTGGAAGAGAGGAACTTTCTTGGTTTACTCTGGAAAGCAATGTTGTCATCTGCCATGTGTCACTAAGAGGTTGCTATGAATTCCTTATGTCACCATTGAATGAGGTATCTAAGGGGATGCCTAAAAGTGAGATTAGGGATAAACTAGATTGAGTTTCTCAGAAGCAGTTTTGAGATATGAGAGTCGGTGGCCAAGTGGTTTTTGAGGGAAGTGTCCCAAGGATACATCCATAAAAGAGCAAGAAGCAGGTAAAGGATAAGAGGAAGCTGATCATGGAGGATGGTGTCAAGTTGATTCTTCAGAGGAGCTATGCTGTGTGGTTTATGCCTCAGTTTATCACCACTGGAGGCCAGTGAGTGGTGCATTCTTCATAGGAATGAGGATTTCCTAGCATCTACTGGTCTCTGAGAGGCTTGCTGGCAAACAGACCCTAGGAACTCTTGAGGGGATTTGTCTGAAGAAGAGTGTTGGGTGCTGACTGTTAGGAGAGACATTTAAAGGAACCCAAAGAGATCTGGGATAGCTCAGATGCATGGCATGAAGTTCACTCCACAAAGAAGCCCTGGTTTCTTCAATATGGTGGATACAGGGTTGATCAGATGAGCTTTAGTCATTCCTCCCTCTGTGGTTTGTCCCAAAGTTCAGCTTCCATCATCCATCCAGACTCTATTCATTCTCTTTGGAATGGGGGATTCCTTTCAAAATGTGACCTAGATATTCGTAAAGCGACAGAGATCTTCATTCCTGAGCAGTCTGGAGCCTGGTTAAGATGCATTTTGGTGCCCAAAGTCAAAACATAACAGGGAAGCATCAGTAATGCCCTACAGGATCCCTGGAGGTGTAGACTCAGAGTAGCCTGCAATGGGTCACAAAACACAGATTGCAACAATTTTAAAGTCCTAGATACTTATTTATTTATTTCATATAATTTTTATTGTAATGAAAGTAAAAATCAAGTAAAATAAAGTTTGAAATTTTATTTGGTTGTTTAGCACATTCTCTGCTACATATTGAGTATTAATTAACTATTTGGTGATTAAATACATAAATGAAGCTTTTTAGATGCTCTGTAAATAATTCTACAAATTAATACAATGTTATAATTTTAACAAAATACAGACAATATATTTATTTGTTTTTAAGATTTGTTTATTTATTTGAAAATAAGAGTTACATAGAGAGAGGAGAGGCAGAGAGAGGGGGGGTCTTCCAACCACTGGTTCACTCCTCAATTAGCTACAATGGCAGGAGCTGTGCTGATCTGAAGCCAGGATCTAGGAGCTTCTTCCGGGTCTCCCAGGTGGGTGCAGGGGTCCAAGGACTTGGGCCATCTTCTGCTGCTTTCCCAGGCCATAGCAGAGAACTGGATCGGAAATGGAGCAGCCGGGACTCGAACCAGTGTGCATATGGGATGCCGGCATTGCAGGTGGTGACTTTACCTACTATGCCACAGTGCCAGCCCCCAGACAATATATTTGTTACTAAAGGCAACCCATAAAATCCAGTTTTCCAGGAGGAGTAAGAATGCATCAAGTTATTTTTTTCCTTAATATTTAGAAAAAATACTGAGAAAAAATTTACCTTATTTTGGAATCCAGAATACTCATCACAAAGAAGAAATACTGGGCTTTCACAACCCATTATTTGATGACAAAATAAGTGCATTATGTGGAAAGAACATTGCAGGCTGCCCCAGGAGAAGCTGTGCTGTGTGGAGAGCCTTAAACTTTTTGCTTCCTGACCAGGTATTGGCAGATCATGTCCAAGGACTAAGTTTGATGATGAGCCTGCAGATTACAAAATGATCAGCTGTGCTACCTTCTGCACTGATTTTCAAATATTAATTCATTCAACAAACACAGTATCTGTTGAGTGCCTATTCTGCTACCTTCAGTTCTTGGTAGCAGGGAAACAGTGATGAGTAGAATACCTCCCCACCCTTTGGGACTTGCACAGATTTTTTTCTGCTATGACATTTTTCCCCCTATCAGCCTAAATCTGTCCTGTATGCATCTTTTTTTTTTTTACTTATTTATTTGATGGGGGACAAGGTGAGAAAGAGAGAGAAGGAACAAGAGTATGCCAATCTGCTGGGTTCCTTCTCCAATGCCTACAATGGAAGGGGCTGGGCTGGGGCCAAACCCAGAAGCTGATTATATTATCCACATCCACAACTGCAAGGAAGGCAGATATATTACACTACTCACATCTCCACGTGAGCCGTCACCTACTGGCTCCTAGCACCTGCACTAACAGGAATGTGGAATGAGGAGCTGGAGCCAAGAATTGAACTCAGTCTCTCTGCTGTAGGCATGGGTGTTTTAACCTCAAGGCTAAATGCTTGCTCCTTCAAGTCCCCTTCATCCTAAAAATACCTCTCCTTTTTCTAATTAGCACTCCTGAAGTGTGACTGGTTCAAACTCTATTGAGTCCTTTTCTCAAATATCTTTCTTCTTTATATGAATGTTTCTTCCCAGTTTATGATCTTTCCACGCAGCATCACGACAGAAATCTGACTGAAGCCCTTTCTCCAAAGTCTGATGTTTCTCAATTCTTTCCTGAAAACTACTGCAGAAGAAATTTGGTCACTGAATAAATCAAGTTGTCCCTTGTCTATTGAATTCAGTAGAAACTATTTAGCATGGTTTATAAGATCCTGGAAAAATGGGTTTATACTCACTGCTGCAGGCTGTGTCATTTTTTCCCCATTTACTTCTCATCTTATCAGACTCCTGACAGTTCCAGGAATTTCCAAGAATATGTTCTGGGCTAACTTGTCCAGGCTGTTCTCTGTTCGAAATTTTTATTCTCCTTATTTTCCACCTGATAAAGTCCTACTTATCCTTCAATACTTAACTCAAATATTAGCTTGCCTGTGAAGCTTTTGCTAAGTCCATCTGCTTATGTTCTTATTCTCTTTTGCCTACTACAGCTCATTGTGTTGAAGTGATTTCTTTTGCATGTCTCTGCTTTTCAACAGACTGGAATGTTTGAGGGTAAGGCTCTGTTCATTGATTTCCTGAGTTCAGTGACTGACAGTAGGAAACGAACTATATGAGTGATAACTGAAAAAAAAAAAAAGAGAAACTAAGAGAATTCCTATTAAGTTATATAGCTCTTTTGGGGTCATTTATCAATTATGATTTAAAAATTATGGAAACTATGAATTCACAGGATAATTTCACTATTCTTAATATGAAGCATAAAATGTATTTTATACTCATTTTATTCATCTCTTTATTTAAAAATAATACAGAGATGTGTAAATTCAATGATAACACAGATTTCACAATTGTGAACATTTTGCTGTACTCACTTCATATATAGATGTTATATACACACACAAACACACACATATATGTATATACATACACATACACACACATTCTTTTTTGAAAACAAATGTGGGCCGGCGCCGTGGCTCAATAGGCTAATCCTCCGCCTGCAGTGCTGGCACATGGGGTTCTAGTCCCGGTCGGGGCGCCGGATTCTGTCCCAGTTGCCCCTCTTCCAGGCCAGCTCTCTGCTGTGGCCAGGGAGTGCAGTGGAGGATGGCCCAAGTACTTGGGCCCTGCACCCTATGGGAGACCAGGATAAGTACCTGGTTCCTGCCTTCGGATCAGCGTGGTGCACCTGCCGCAGTGCGCCGGCCGCGGTGGCCATTGGAGGATGAAGCAACGGGAAAGGAAGACCTTTCTCTCTGTCTCTCTCTCTCTCTCACTGTCCACTCTGCCTGTCAAAAAAAAAAAAAAAAGAAAGAAAACAAATGTGAATATATTAATATCACCCAATGTGCGATCCATGACAAAAATCAAAACTGAGGAAAGAAATGTGTATAATTCAGTTAAGGCAACCTCAATACATAACTATATATCAATTCATATGGCAGTCACATATTTTTACCATATACATATTATATATATGCATGTCCACATTTGAGAGATAACATGAAAATTGTCATTTTGTGTCTGACTGATTTCAATAGCATCATTATTTGTAGTTCCAACCATTTTGTCGCCAATGTCAGAATTTCATTTATTTTATGGCTGAGTAATATTCCATGGTGAATTCCATTGACACACAGTGATTTCTTGACATATTTTAATTAAAAACTATTGTATTTTCTGTCTCTCAATTCTGAATTTATAATTAATTTTTTTTTATTTATTTGAAAGTCAGAGACACAGAGAGAGAAGGAGAGGCAAAGAGAGAGAGAGAGAGGTCTTCCATCTGCTGGTTCACTTCCCAGTTGGCTGCAATGGCTGAAGCTGTGCTGATCCTAAGCCGGGAGCCAGGAGCTTCCTCCGGGTCCCCATATGGGTGCAGAGGCCCAAGGACTTGTGTCATCTTCTACTGCTATCCCAGGCCATAGCAGAGAGCTGGATCAGAAGTGGAGCAGCTGGGACTAGAACTGGTGCCCATATAGGATGCTGGCAGTTCAGGCCAGGGCTTTAACCCTCTGTGCCACAGTGCCGACCCCAGAATATAATTTTTCTTAAATCTGAAAGTTTATACCCTTTGGCCAACATCTTTCTATTTGTCCCACCCTCCAAGCCCTGACAATCCCTTTCCTACTGTTGAAGCACTATGTCTTAAAGATCCCTTGGGACCATCCATATGGAATGCCGGCACTGCGAGTGGTGGCTTTATCTGCTATGCCACAGCTCTGGCCCCTATAATATGTTTTGATTCTAGCTACATCCATAGATTAAACAAAACGTAAAATTCCATTTTAAATTATATTTTAACTTTCCCATATGGGAAAAAAATCAAAAATTGTTCGCACTACAATGAATTATGATATCATGAATATTCTGAATCAAAGCTTTTCTAACTTGGTAGTTACTTGAAACTCATTTTTGCTTGCAGGAATTTTTTTTAAAGAAAATGTTTTAACCTCTTGAAGGCAAAGAGACAAGGAGACACTTAAAGAGAAAGATCTCTCATCCAGTGGTTCACTCCCCAAGAGCACACAATGGCCAGGGATGGGTTGGGGCTGGCCGGAAGACACACAACTCAATCAAGGTCTCCCCTGTACATGGAAGGGACCCACGTACTTGAGCAAGCACCTGCTGCCTCCCAGGTTTGCTTTGTTTGGCAGAGTTGAAATTGGGAACCAGAACCAGGAAAAGAACCCAGGCACTCCCATGGAGGATATATCTTCTTGAATGCTAGGCAAAATGCCCATTCCAGCTTATAGGAATATCAATACACAAAAACACACATCACTGAGAGGTTCAGAGAGACATTTATTGCATTCCCTATAATCTAAAGATTTTGGGACTTAGTATGTGAATTATTTGTTATAGTAATTTCCCCTTATCTACAAGGGATGCATTTCAAGACTCCTGATAGATACTTGAAATATTGAATTGTACCAGATCCTAGACATAAATACATATGATGCTTTTTAATTTATTAGTCAAGTAACAGATGAACAATAACTAATAATAAAAACGATTATACCAATATACAGTAATGAAAGTTAAGAGAATGTGATTGCTCTCAAAATAGTACACTGCACTTAAATTAAAAAAAAATGTTGTATTATTTAAGGGCAGAGCTACAGAGAAAAAGAGGGAGAGAGAGATCTTCCATCTGCTAGTTCACTTCCCAAATGGCTGCCAACAGCCAGGGCTGGTCCATTCTTGTTCTGATGTTGTCACATGACACAATGTCTTTGTGATGGGATGAAGTGAGGTGAATGTAGAAGGCATTGTGAGGTAGCGTTAGATTACTGGGAAAGGGTTTTGAACACAAGCACTGCGACACTGCGACACTGCGACACTTGGTCTCATAACTGAGATGACTGCTAAGTGAGTGTTGTGCAGTGCATACTATGCTGGGCAAAGGTGTGATTCACATCTTAGGTTGGACAGAGTGGGACAGAATGAGATTTCATCACACAATTTAAAACTTCTGAATTGTTTATTTCCAGAATTTTCCATTTCTGCTATGGTGGATTGCAGGAAGCTTAAACTTTGGAAAATTAAATCAGGGATAAGGGGGTATAATTATAATTTTGGGAAGACCATGAACTTCATGAAAAGGTGTATTTGCCTAACCTAAGTTGGGAAGGTTATGTGAAAGCATAATAAGGATTCTTATATGTTATCTGTAAAATTAATTGATCGTTCCAAATTCATATTCTGTTTCAGAGACAATGAACACTTTGGTATAATCTGGAATCAAACAGGTAGTCAACTTTTCATCACTATAGGGGAATACCTGACACACGCCATAAATGAAGAAAAGAGGTATGTTTAGTGACAATTTTGAGGTTCAAGGGCAGGACATCTGCATCAGCTCAATTCTGCTGAGGAACTGAAGGCAAATGGTAGAAGGCAGATAGCAATGCAGGAGTGTGTGTTGAGGCAAGAGGGCACATCTCAAATCAGGAATAGAGAAAGGCTGAGTAAGCCACACTCAGGCTTTCATAACAATCCTCTCCCAAGAACTACCAAGGACTCCCACAAGATCTACTTTCCAAGGATATGCTTCCAAATGACTAAGGACCTCTCACTAGAACTACCTCTTAAGTTTCCACAGCATTTTCCAATACTGTCAGCCTGTAGGGCAAACCTCCTATCTTACTATATCCTGAAGGACATGCAAACCAGTCTTAAATCATATCAGACAGTGTCCAACGATCTCAACTACTGTGAGAGATTCTGCAATATAATTTAATAGACCTCATATTTGCTGATTGTTTACCTTATACAATATACTTCATTCCAGCATAATTCTAGAGTTTAAATTTGATATTCACTGATTAAAGAAGTAAATGACTATTTTTAAGAAAAAATGGATTTAGCTTTAAAAAATTTGATCTCAGGTGTTAGGAAGAATTCGACACCGTGGTTAGGATGCAGCAAACCCAAAGGGTGGCTCCATAACCTTGACTACCTTGGTTTTCAACACGGCACCTGACTGCTAGATGATTTAGAATCTTAAGCAAACCTAGCAGTCAGCACCATTTTCTATAATTTGTCTGAGCTGCTCACACATAGAGTGTTTTTGTATACACATGCACATGCACACACAAAGATGTTGCTTGGAATGCTTGATCCCATACTGGAGTGCCTGCGTTCAAGTCTTGGTTCTGATTCAGCTTCCTGGAAATGCATACTGTGGGAGGCAGCAGATGATGGCTCCTGTATTTGGGTCCCTGCCATCCTTATGGGAGAATCAAATTGAGTCCCAATCTCCTGGCTTTCACTTGGCCTAGTTCCTGGTTGTTGCAGGCATTAGGAAGTGAACCATCAGCAGATGGAAGATCTCTCTTTGGCCAGGCTGAAGACAGGAGACTGGAATTCTATCCAGTATACCACATGTGTGGCAGGACATGGAGTACAAGCATTTGAGCTATCATTTGCTTCTTTTTTAGGGTAAGCTACTGCCTGTGCCATATGTGCACTGGTTCCAGTCCCTGCTGTTCTGCTTCCAGTCCAGCTCCCTGAAAACATGATTTGACCAATGGAATACAATAGAAACCCCAGAAATTAACCCACACAACTATAATCAACTAATCTTTGACAAATGAGCTAAAATCATTCCCTAGAGAAAGGACCATCTGTTCAACAAATGGTGTTGGGAAAATTGGATTTCCACTTGCAGAAGTATGAAACATGGACCTTACCTTACACTTTACACAAAAATCAACTCAAAATAGATCAAGTTTCTAAACCTTAGGCCTGAAACCTTCAAACTACTTCAGGAAAACATAGGGTAAATTTGAGAAGACACTGGCCTAGGCAGACTTCTTTTTGAAGACCCCAAAAGCATCGGCAATAAAAACAAAAATAGACAAGTCAAGTCAAGAAGATTCTGCACAGCAGAGGAAACAATTAGCAAGTAATGAGGCAAATGACAGAATGGCAGGAAATATTTGCAAACTATACAACTGATAAAGGAGTAATATCCAGAATATAAGGAGCTCAAGAAACTCAACAATAACAAAACAAACAATATAGTTAACAAATGAATAAAGAATATGAACAGGCTTTTTCAAATAATGAAATACAAATGGCCAACAGACACACAAAAAAGTACAAGATCACTAGCTATCAAGGAATTGTGAATACAAACTACAGTGAAATTATCTCCTCACTTCATTTAGAATGGTTATTATTCAATGATTAAAAATAATAAACACTGATGAGGATGTGGTAATGAAGGTAGCCTAACACACTTTTGGTGTGGATGCAAAACAGTATAATCATTATGGCAAACAGTACGGAGATTTCACAGAAAACTAACAAAAAGATTTATCATAGGACCCAGATACCCCACTCCTGGGAGTAATATCCAAAATAAATGAAATCAGCACATCAAAGTGTTATCTTCAATCTCATGTTTATAGCATCTCAATCCACACCAGCAAAGATATGAAATCAACCTAGATGTCCATCAATTGATGATTGGATAAAGAAAACGTGATATACGTACAGGATGGGATATTAGCCATAGAGAAGAATGAAATCCTGTCATTTGCGTCAAAATTGATGGAACTGCAGATCATCAGAAATACAAATATTACATTTTCTCTTATTTGTGGAAGTTAGTATAGAGTAGATAAAATGTGTGGATGTCACATCATTTGGTATATAGTGTGTAAGTATTGCTTTATTGAATCATAGCATGTAAATGACAATACTCTTTTCTTCTCCCATGTAATGATCATTTTTCTGATCCCATCACTTTATGATATATATTTTCAAGAAAAATAGCATAAAATGAAAAAGTGAAAAACTGAAAGCTTTTCCTCTATGCTTTCATTGTTTTGAATGTGGATATATAATTTCTTCAACAAGACAAGAACAAGACAAGGATACCCACACTTGCTAAATAGTAATAGGAGTATTGGTCACAGTAATTAGGCTAGAAAAAGAAATATGAAGCATCAAAATTGAAAAAAAAAGAAATAAAAATATATTTTTTTCAAGTAACAAGTTTATATATGTTCTTATTTAAAACTCTATAGGACTACACATACAAAAATGATCCAAAGAATTAATTCAATAAGTTGTAGCATATAAAATAAACATAGAAAAACCTATTGTGCTTCTATATATTAACAATGAACCATCAGGAAAGGAAATGAAGAAAAATCTCACATAGTATCAGAAAGAGTAAAATACTTAACAAATTTAACCAAGAAAACAAAAGACTGAAAACTATAAAGCAGAAGAAGACACAAACAAATGGAAAGATATTGTGTGTATACACATATTGCAATAATTAACATTGTTAATATGTTCATGCTTAAAATAATCTATGGATTCAACACAATCGCTATCAAAATCCAATGACATCTATTTTTGTAGAAATAGAGAAGGGAATCCTAGAATTCACATGGAACCACAAAACACTCTAAATAGCCAAAACAATCAAGAAAGAATAAAAGTGAAAGTGCTAAATTGCTAATTTTAAAATATATTATAAAGGTACAGAAATTAAAATGGAGTTTTATATGCAAAAACAGACATAAAGACCAATGGAGCAAAATACTGAACACAGAAATAAATCCATGCAAATAACAATGACTAATCTTTGATAATGGTGCTAAGAACATGGAATGGGAGAAATATATCATCTCGTCGGTAAATTTTATTATAAAAATTGGATCACCACATCTGAATTAATGAATTTGGATTATTATCTTACACTATACACACACAAATATCAATTCAAAATTGATGAAAAACTTAAATGTAAACCTGAAACAGTACAACTCCTGGGATAAACAGAAGTTTTCTACACAATGTCATCCTTGGCATTGATTTCTTGGAAATGACACCAATGGCACACGCAACAAAAACAAAAATAGGCATGCAATAACCTCTTACACTAAAAATTTTGTGCACAGCAAAGGACACAATTAACAGAGTGAAGAAGGAACCTAAGGAATTGGAGGAAGCATTTGCAAACCACAAATCTGATAAATTGTTAATATCCAAAATATGTAGGAAATTCCTACAACTCAATAACAAAAATCCCCTTAATCACTTGATTAAAAATGGGTGAAGGGTTTGAACTGCTGACTTTCAGTTATTTAATAAATGTTCTTAAAGGTACAACTTAAGTGTAAGGCCCTTGTTGTATGTAGTGATATGAGATATAAGCTTGTGGGGTAAGTAATTACACAGTGACAAGTCGACTGATAAATGTTATGGTAGCTTTTGGTTCTTGCTTTTTCGAAATGGTCATATTGGCCTCTATTTGTAGAAATTGACCAGAGGTGTTTACTGTGGTCATGGTTTTCAAAAGATCAGGCTTTGGTGGTTTAAGCCAATAATCTTAATTGTAGGTGTACGAATTGAGTGGTTTTTCATGTCAGAGAAATTGTAGCCTAATCAAGATAATGTGTCCATTAATTATGTTTGTAGAAATCCTTTTAGAAAACTATGCAGTATAATTTGTACTGTAATTTTTTAACTCTTCTATTTAATTATGGTCAAAAATACCGACTACTAAACTAAGATGAGGCTTGAAACATTTTTCCCACCAGTATAGATTTACTGTTATGTAAACCAAATGCTGATTAGATCCATATGGAAAAGAAATTTTGTATTCATGAGGCATTGCATTTTCAAAATAGGAACATATATTATTAGGGTAGTATGCTGAGTCATTAGCTTCCTGAGCAAATGGCTTGTTACAGACTTTTTAGTAAGTTAGTATGGAAAGTTAAGACCAACTCTTTTAGTATGTCATCTATTCAATCGGTGGAAAATGAATGTTCACACATAAGAATTTCAGACCAGGGCAACTCCTGTCGTGGATCCTTTTTTGTAATCTCTGAGAAACATCTTGGCATAGTGAAAAAAAGAAGGTTATAGAATTAAGATTCAGACATAGTTGTGTAACCTTATGCATGTTTCTTAATTTCACTAAGCCCCTATTTTCTTATTTGGAAGGTAATAAAATATTATTATCACATCTGCAAAGATGAGATGAGGTATTATGGAAAATTTCTCATCTCTCAGTGGTTGCTATGAGAATGAGAGTGGTTATAATTGTAGCATCCAACTGTTTAGCAGAGAATCTAAAGTAGTATTATAAAATTAATGATATTATTTTTAAACTAAGGAAATAACCTTAGAAATGATTTTATTTCAGGGATCAGTTGAGAGGTGAGCCTCTATTATCTTCTTTTGACAGAAAGCATGGAAACAGGTTCATGAAGGGAGCCATTTCAGAAACTCAACTGCTGGCCAATATTAGGAAAATTAAAGCACCTGTAACATTACTTATGTTTATGATTATAACATTAAATTTTAAAAGATCTATTAGTACTTAAGCATAATAATAAAGAAAAGGTAGACAAGATAACTAATGTTTTTAAATAAATTATTCTTAGGGAAAATGTTGACTGAAACAAAATATCAGTGGACTAATTTATTTGGTAAGTTTTATTATGTATGCTACACTCATTGAATAAAATTTTTATGAAGCAGAGCTGATGTCATGGTGCAGTGGATTAACTGGTATCTGTGATTTCAGCATCCAATGAGTGCCTTCTCATGTCCTGGCTGCTCCACTTCTGATCCAGGTCCCTGTTAATGGACCTGAGAAAGCAGCAGAAGATGGTCCTGCAACCATATTGGTTACTCAGATGAAGTTCCTGGTACCTGGCTTAGGACTGGCCAAGTCCTGGTCATTGGGGCCCTTAGAGGATAGAGGATCTCTTTATCATTACCTCTCTCTCTTTAACTCTGGTTTTCAAATAAATAATCTTTAAATATTTAAAAATTAAATTTCATGAGGCACAGCATTAAACTGTCACCCCCATAATTACAAAGAAAAAATGTTTTTCTATAATGGTGAATAAGTGAAAGCATCAATATTTAATGTTAACATTCAATATCATTAATAGACGATAACCTGATACTATATGCTTTCTGAAGTGACACATATGCTATAATAATAGCAGCTGTGAAGCATTAGTTAAATAATGATTGCTTGCATTTAATTAATCCCTTAAGACCTAATTTCCAGCTGGGACCGCAGCTCAATAGGCTAATCCTCCACCTGGGGTGCCGGCACACCGGGTTCTAGTCCTGGTCAGGGTGCTGGATTCTGTCCTAGTTGCCCCTATTCCTGTCCATCTCCCTGCTATAGCCCGGGAAGGCAGTGGAGGATGGCCCAAGTGCTTGGGCCCTGCACCCCATGGGAGACCAGGAGGAAGCACCTGGCTCCTGGCTTCAGATCAGCACGGTGCGCCGGCTGCAGGGTGCCAGCTGTGGCGGCCATTGGAGGGTGAACCAATGGGAAAGGAAGACCTTTCTCTCTGTCTCTCTCTCTCTCTCACTGTCCACTCTGCCTGTCCAAAAAAAAAAAAAAAAGACCTAATTTCCTGTTTACAGGAAATAAAGGCAGAAGATAAATACTCCAAGAACAAACAATGGGATATCCAGAATATGGGATATTTTATGAGATGTCTTTCCCAGACTCTTTGTGGGACTTCTCTACAAAAAAATGAGACATACTCACCATATTCTTTGGGTGCTTATTGATTCTAAACTGGATTTAAAAAAAAGATAAACAGAAATTTATGCTACATAGGTATTTGTTATTATATTGTATATACATTATTGTATATATTATATTGTATATACATTAGTATATACATTGTATATACATTAGTTCAGTGTTAGGTTGTATTCGTATTGTGGTTATATAGAAGGATATCCTTATATGTACAAAATACTTGCTGAAGTATTTAAAGTTGAAATATAATATTGTATACAATTTACTTTTCCATCAGGCAGAATATTCATCTAGGTGACATTTCTAGTGTTCATTATACAAACATTTCATCTTTTCTAAAGTTTTGGAATTTCCTAAAATAAAACACTGCATGCAAAAAATAAAAGCATCATAAAACTTTTTCAAATTTCAAATTGTGAATATAGTAAAATTTTCCTTCTTGAATCAGTTCAGATGAACATAGACAATTGGTGTTCCCTTGTGTCATCATGGAAGAAAATAGCTATATACCAATGATACAGAGTGTTTATCTTGATGACAAAGATAACTCTCTCAGATTATCTCAAGTCATTAAAAATAACATTTTCCTGCTGAAACTATTTTTATCAATATGTAATATTCTTGTCTATTTTTACAGTTTTTGTGTGCAAGTTCGTTCTATTAGATATAAGTATAGTTATTCCTGCTTACGTTGGTTTCTGTTTCCATGGAATATCTTTCACTGTTGACTTCTGGTCTAAGTTTATCTTTCGAAGTGAGTTTCCTTCAGATAATATATAGTTGGATCTTTTTTCTTTTTCCTTTTGTTCATTTGGCCAACTTATATCCTTTGACTGGAGAATTTAATCCATTTACATTTGAGATTAATATAGGTGGATCAGAACTAACTTCATTTTATTGATTGCTTACTGATTGTTTATGCATTCTTTGTTTCTTTATGCCTTTGTTATTATTTACTTTGTGTTGTGGTAGTTTTCTGCCTGATAAGACAGGATTCTTTCCTCTTTTCTCTTTGTAAAAGATTTTATTTATTTGAGAGGCAGAGTATGTGTGTGTGTGTGTGCATGTGCGTGTGTGTGTGTGTGAGAGAGAGAGAGAGAAGAGAGAATCGCCCTTTCATCTACTGGTTCATCTTTCAATGGCTACAACAGCCATGCTATTCC